AAATTGGGAGGAAAATTGGGGGAAATGGGGAGGAAGTGAAAGGGAAATTGGGAGGAAATGAGGGGGAATGAGAGAGGAAAATGGGGTGGAAGTGAGGGGGGAATGGGGAGAAAGTGGAAGGGAAATTGGGGAAAATATGGAGGAAATGGAGAGGAAATGAGGGGGAAATTGGGAGTGGAGATTGAGGAAAATGGGGTGGAAATAAGGGGGAAATGGGGAGAAAGAAATGGGGTGGAAGTGAGGGGGAACTGGGGTGGAAATTGGGGGAAATGGGGAGAAAGTGGAAGGGAATTGGGAGAAATGGGGACGAATTGAGGGGGGAATGGGAGAGGAAAATGGGGTGGAAATGAAAGGGGAACTTGGAGTGGAGATTGGGGAAAATGGGGCAGAAATGAGGGGGAAAATTGAAAGGAAACTGGGAAAATAGGGAGGAAATGAGGGGGAATGAGAGAGGAAAATGGGGCGGAAGTGAAGGGGAAATGGGGAGAAATTGGGAGGAAAATTGGGGGAAATTGGGGGAAATGAGGGGAGAATGGGAGAGGAAAATGGGGTGGAAGTGAAAGGAAAATTGGGGGTGGAGATTGAGGAAAATGGGGTGGAAATGAGGGGGAAATAGGGAGAAAGAAATGGGGTGGAAGTGAGGGGGAACTGGGGTGGAAATGGGGAGAAAGTGGAAGTGAAATTGGGGGAAATGGGGAGGAAATGAGAGGGGAATGGGAGAGGAAAATGGGGTGGAAGTGAAGAGGAAATGGGGAGAAATTGGGAGGAAAATTGGGGGAAATGGGGAGGAAGTGAAAGGGAAATTGGGGGAAAATGAGAGAGGAAAATGGGGTGGAAGTGAGGGGGGAATGGGGAGGAAAATTGGAGGAAATTGGGGGAAATGAGGGGGAAATTGGGAGTGGAGATTGGGGAATACGGGGAGAAAATGAGGAGAGAATGAGAGAGAAAAATGGGGTGGAAGTGAAAGGAAAATTGGGAGTGGAGATTGAGGAAAATGGGGTGGAAATAAGGGGGAAATGGGGAAAAAGAAACGGGGTGGAAGTGAGGAGGAACTGGAGTGGAAATGAGAGGGAAATGGGGTGGAAGTGGAAGTGAAATTGGGGGAAATGGGGACGAAGTGAGGGGGGAATGAGAGAGGAAAATGGGGTGGAAGTGAAGGGGAAATGGGGAGAAATTGGGAGGAAAATTGAGGGAAATTGGGAGGAAAATTGGAGGAAATTGGGGGAAATGAAGGAGAAATGGGGTGCAAGGGGTCCCCCATGTCCCCGTGTCCCCTCACCGTGACGTCACACCAGTATTGTCCCCAACGTGTGATTGGCTCCGGTGGCAGCCGAAGGGCGTGGG